TTGTATTTTTTCTTTTGTGTTTACAATTTTGACAATTTTCGTTCAATTACCAGGTTCGCTTGGTTGGTGGAAAGAACTCTTCTGAAGGCCGCGTTGAAGTGAAAATTAACGGGGAATGGGGAACAGTATGTGGTGATCATTGGCATGTGAAATCCGCCATGATCGTCTGTAGGGAACTGGGTTTGAATTTTGCGGAAAAGAATATCACCGGAAACGAGTTTGGTGTTGGTGAAAAAATAGTGATGAGTAAACCAATCTGTATTGGTGATGAGATATCGCTGACGCAATGTCTCCGTGACGACAACGTCACGTGTTCATCCTCTGAAAAAGTTGCCGGCGTTCGTTGTACTGATGGTAAGACCTACCACTTGCATGGATCTCAATCTGAGTCCAAGTAACATGAGTCGTCCCAGACCACCCCTCGTTCATCTGGGCTAACATCTCACCATCCAAATAGGTCATGGTGTTAAAAATGGAGAGTAGGGATTTTGCTTAGGTTGGATAACTTTACTATACTTGAAAGCTCATGTAAGTAAAGTCTGCTACTTCTCTGCTATGCTTCGTCGCTTCGAGAGTTTTCTCCCTTATCAAAAACTAACTATAGTCTAACTATTAAACTATATACTAACCACGAGATGAATGGGGAAACCACACCCCATGTAATCGACATAACTCATTATCATAACTCATTATCCGACAATTGATATCCAAAGATCCATTAATTTATTAGCCTAACAAGCCCTAACTGAAATTTTCTATCTTCTGCTTTCTAGCGCTACCCGACTTGGCATTGAGTATACGTGGCATTTATAGAACTCTTCGCGTGGATTACTTGCCTAACACCATGTTGCGTTGTTCTTGGGAGGAAAACTGCTTGACAAGCTCAGCCAATAGGTATATGAACAATTTCTATATGCGATATTATAGAAGGCGTTTGATGAGATTTAGTACGATCATATTAAATTTTGGCTCCGCCGACTACCGACCATTAGCGAAGAAAGAAGACTGGATTTGGCATACTTGTCACAAACATTTTCACTCGCAAGAAGAATTCGCCACCTATGACTTGTTGAGTAAGTAACATTCTGTCACCTTCCGTGGTCTCTTGAGCTTATTCCATTTTCCTAGTTGTGATACTACTCCTACAGCTAGCGCGTAGCAAACACATAACCAGGAACTGATTCTTCCAGCAGGGGCAAGTAATGAATGCAACAGGCCCGTATCTGAGGGGGGAGGGGGGGGGGCTGTGGAGGGCAGTGCTCCCCATCCGGAGACACAAATTGAAATCATGACCCCGCCCCCAAAACGCACAAAATTTGTTCTTTTTGATTTTAATCATTTTTGCCGAAGCTACAATTGACCCTGGTTTACTTTATAATCGGATTATATTTGCTGTGGCTCCCATGTTTGGTTAAGTTCATTTATAGCTAGAAAGTTGATTTTTTATGTTTAGTTTAAAGTTTTAAGAAATATTAAAAGGTTAAATCTAATATTCTTCACGGTCTAGAAGAACGTATTTTTACCAATTTTTCCAGGGCTGCGACCAGAAACTGGCACAAAAACATCCCCTCAGCTAAATTTTTCAGCAGTGCCCCCCTCCCCCCAGAAATTGAGAGCCAGCTACGGGTTTGGAATGCAATTAGGAAGCGAGCAACCTAGGGGCTCCAAACAGAGTCCAAACACTGACTAAATATTATATTCTGACTGTCCCAACCGTACATCGATCCGAAGCTGAGGGTCGTCCTCGCCCGACCCAATGATTCCCATCAGCCGCAAAGTTCCTGGTGCAAATCTTATTCGTGGAGGTAGCGACGATATAACATGACAGCTACGCGTTGAGACGACTTTACGACTTTACATTGCTTCCTACGCCCGCAGCATATGCTAATGAGAACAAGTTGTTTTCATAAAGTTGTTAAACCGTTTTCAGCTTCAGATAAAAGAAGACGAAAAGTAGCCGAAGGGCACAAGGCAAGCTTCTGCCTGGAAGACACGCGCTGCCTGGCTGGAGTAGACAGGACGTATAATTGCACTGCTGGAACACAGGGGATCTCAGTGAACTGTTTTGATGACTACGCCTATAGTATAGATTGTCAATGGATCGACGTCAGCGATGTACCTTATCTCAGATCGTACATACTACATGTAAACATCAATCCTAAATTTGAAGTGCCTGAAACTGATTTCGACAATAATGTTGTGGTGTGTGATATCTATGATAGAGGATCGTTTATTCGCGTAAGGGATTGTGGTTATGGTGAGTGCATTCTCGAATATCCGAAAAGTTGTTAGCTGCTGTTTAGCTTATCTGTGGCGTTTCTGACATTTCGACACTTTTTGTCAAAAATACACTAAATTATGAATATATGACAATTGATTTCAAGCGCCATGTTTTTTTTTACTATGTCCACAAAAATAGGTTGCCACACCCACGGTACTGATACCCTGGCCAAGAGCCTGGGAATGGGCCTTCACCATTTCATTAAGACTAAATTATTTCTTATTCAACATTTCTAGATTACTGCACAAGTGGTCTAAGGTCACATGATGGCAATGCAAACCGAGCATGCTGTGTGTTTCCATTCAGATATCGAGGGGTTTGGTACGAGACCTGTACTAAATTTAGTGTTGACAGATATTGGTGTTCGACAACTACAATCTACGAAGGAAAGTGGGGACTGTGTTAACTTTGTTTCACAGTCACTGGTCGTGGACTAGACTTATTACTGAATTTTAAGGTCTCTATCAAATAGTTATTATTTTTATACTGTATAAATTCTTTATGACCTACGCGAAATATATTCTTTCTCTAAAAATTGTTAGTCAATCAAATGTGGAGTTTAGGAGCCAATAGTTTTAACATTGAATATGGAAGTGGGGCAGACGCCTTATCGAGTTAGATATATAGCGTTTTCTTATGCTTTCCATTTACTGTCTACCTAGTTTATTGGTGGTTTTGTCCGCCATTCTTGTTTCATGTAGCGATTTCTTTGCCTTTGGTTTGACGCGGTCAATCGTGGACAATCTGTGCATACTATCCATTCAATTTGCATTGGAGGCAGCATTTTCTTTTGTCTCAATTTGTCAAGAAACAGAGAGATAAGTTTCGGTACGTTGTGGTTTGTGTAGAAATAGACCGGCTTTCGTGTTTCTTCGTTGTCTTTCTCGGACCAATGGTATTGTACTAGTTAGATGGTCTGTACGTCAGCGTACCTCCAAAAGCATTTTGCTTGTTCTTCTTCAACCAACATCAATATCGCAAAAATATTTTTTTCGTTTGAAGCCATCAGGATTGCGTTATACATGGTGATGAAAAATATCTAAAAAAGCAACAAAAGTCGCCAAACAGTTGAAATCTAACTCTTGACGTACAAAATCAGCATAACAATAAACTAGTTTTGTAAAAATTTGCATAGATATAGGTAATGATTGCTACATTTCAAACATCAACCATATTGCTTTATATTATTAATTTATTCAGTCTTTGGACTGGATCAAAATGAATTCACCTCACTTTAAAGTACCTATATCAGGGTTTTGGAGTTTGCATATCTCGAAAGTTTAGGGTATTTTAAGACACTTTGCAATATATTTTGTTATTGAAAAATTTCATCTTGATGGATTTATTAGCTCCTAAAGTTACCGGACATGACGTCAAAAGGAGAATTGCAAATCAGT